GTCCACTCCAGGATGATGTGGTCCCACCAATCGCTGCTAGTGTCCAGATGCCAGATGCGGCGGGGCACGCTGACGTCTGGGCGCCGCTCCTCCAGGGCCCCCAGGGAGGGCAGGGGGAAGGCCAGGAGACTGGCCTGCAGCAGAAGGTGGCAGGCAGCCTCGAGCAATTGCTGCCAGGCTTGCAGCAAGACATTCAACATGAGCACCAGAGTGCCCAGGGGCGGTTCTGGCTCCATGGTGCCAAGTGCTGCAGTGTCCCAAAGGAGAACGACCAAAGCAGACGGAGAGGTAAACACTTTGCTGTCCCTCTGTGAGGTAGGCAAGCAAGCGGGAAAGCTGACAACTGGCTATCTGGGGGGGTCCCTTTAAACATGAGCCTCAGATAGCCTCAGACAGCAGCCACACAAAGCAACTACTGACCTGATGCCCTGCTGGACCCGGTTTCAGATGCCCTTAAATGTGATCCAGCGTCCAATCAGTGTGGACATGCTATTCTGAAATAGCAAACACTATTTCAAATTAGTTTTTGTGTCTAGATGTGTCATTTTGAATTAGCTTATTTCGAATTAACTAATTTGAAATAAGTTAATTCAAAATAGCGCTCTAGTGTAGCCATACCCTCTCTCTTCTAGGCTTGAGAGTTAGAGCAGTTTTCTTTCAATAATGAGGGAGATGGGAGACACTTCTCTCTCCAAGAATGGACTTCTTACAAGGTGTAAGTAGGGAAAAGTGTAGCCAGTCCATCAGGATTTGTTGTTTTCCTTGTTTGGAAATTTGGAAATAATGTCCAAGCTGTTAAGCGTGTGTTTGTTTTTCTTTTGTAACTAAGTCTTTTACCCCAAGGGGTTCCTCTGAATATCTATATCAATTGATGGCTCTTCCCATCAAGCTACTTTACAATGCTTGCCATTGTAATTTTGTTTTGATAATAAAAGTTTGTTTTTTCTTTTCTAATTAACCAGACTTGATTGACTGTTGTGTCTTTAGGACTCAGCACCTGGTTACAAGGGCAGAATCAATTGTTTGTGAATTCCCTTTTTTTCCCAACTCCAAGTAATACAGAGAGGGGGAGATTTCCCAAGTGATCTCTTCCCTGGTTTTCTTGGAATTACTTGGGTAGTGGGCAGCGGATTTCTCCAAAACTGGGTATTAGGATTTTGAGGGGAAGTTTTTGTACCAAAGCCTGTAGAGGCAAAGTTTTGGAGTGCTCTTGCAGGCCCCCACTTCTGCATTCATCATGCTAGAGTGGGGAACAGTCTTGACAATGTCTAAGTGATTATAGCTATGATGACTTAATCAGAATTCCTTGGAAAACCAGGTAAAACTACGACACTGAAGCAGTTATTAAAGCCAAGTGAACATGATAAAAGATAGTTGAGAAAGTCCAAAGACTTGTCATCTGAAAAATGAGTATCTGTTTTGGACTCCTTCATGAATAAGTTATCATTGTGGTAATGTCTCATGTTTCAGGTGACTAAGACTGAGCTGTGAGCATGATTTGATGGAAGCCTTTATAAACTGATCAGAATAGAAACAGAACAATATAGTGAATGAAGCACAAGTCATTTCTTGATGATGAAATGGCTCGCTAGCTGATAGTTATGCATACCATTAATTCCAGCCAGCCATTATCACAATAGAAAGGCTGGGAACTAAGATGATTGCTATTAACATTTCAGAAAGATAATTCTTTCTTATTCTCTTTCCCACTTTAGCCCCCAACACTTTTCACTATAATAAAAAAATATTGATTACCATTATTAGTCACAGTGAATCATATACTGCCCTTGGTCTGCATATAACTGCCATTGATAGGAATAGGATGCCTCTGATTGTAAGCATTTACTAGGCTTTTTACTGCATTGGCCAGTCACACTGCAAAGATCTAGCTAGAATATCATTATTTAGGTGTACAATTAGACCCTTATCTAACAAAGCCCTTTAGCACAGCCTCAACTTATTTAAGCTTATTTAAGCTTAATACCGATGTGGACACAAGAACAATGGATATAAGATGGCTAGTAGGAAGTTTAGACTTGAAATTAGATGAAGGTTTCTAACCATTAGAGGAGTGAAGTTCTGGAACAGCCTTCCAAGGGAAGTAGTGGGGACAAAAGACCTATCTGGCTTCAAGATTAAGCTAGATGGGTTTATGAAAGGGATGGTTTGATGAGATAACATGATCTTGGTAACTAATTGACCTTTCATTATCAGTGGTAAATAGGCCAATGGAGGGATGATAGGAGTTACTATAGAGAACTTTTCCTGGGTGAGTGAGTCTTGCCCACATGCTCAGGGTTCAGCTGATGGCCATATTTGGGGTCGGGAAGGAATTTTCCTCTAGGGTAGATTGGCAGAGGCCCTGGAGGTTTTTCGCCTTCCTCTGTTGCATGGGGCACAGAACACAGCTGGAGGATTCTCTGCATCTTGGGGTCTTTAAACTATTTGAAGGCTTCAATATCTGAGACATAGGGGAGAGGATTATTCCAGGAGTGGATGGGTGAGATTCTGTGGCCTGCATTGTGCAGGGGGTCAGACTAGATGATCATAATGGTCCCTTCTGACCTTAAAGTCTCTGAGCTTATGAACTTTAAGCATGTGCATCATCCTAGTGCAATCAATGGGAGTATGAACATTCTCTAGGGTTTTTTGCTGGATCATGGTCTTAGGTACCAAGATTATATGTAACTCATAATGCCTGCAAATAAGTTAGGGTATGGCTACACTAGCCACCCTAGTTCGAATTGCAATGAGGAGTAAATGGTAGTTCGAATTAAGAGTGTTAATTCGAACTACCTAGCTCATGCCACATGTAGCCGCGGGCAGGTAATTCGAGCTACCGGGCATTTAAAAATGGTAGCACCCGAAAACATGCAAATGAAGCCCGGGATATTTAAATCCTGGGCTTCATTTGCAAGTTCGAATAACTACATTAGCCACCCTAGTTTCAACTAGGGTGGCTAGTGTAGCCAGAGCCTTAGATACTCTAGAAAATCAGAATAAGTGGAACTATAGAACTAAACTGAAATGTGCTGTATTGCTTAAAACATGTCTTGCCATTTATTTGGGGAAGGTTGTAATGGGAAGTTTCACTGGAACTTTTAACTTTGTGTGTTCCCTAAAATTCAATGTGACTCTTTTCCAAACTGTAAATCCGGGGTGTGGGACAGTTCACTGAAAATTCGTTTTATGTTTGCCAATTTTGAACTCATGGAATTTGTTTTCACCTGTGAAGTGCTAACGAGTTTGATTTGCCATCCCTCTGGTCATCAGAGGCTTGGATAAATAGTTTGTTGTTAGAATGATGTTGGCCAGCAAGTTCATTCTAAACTGTTTGTGTAGGCAAAGGCAACCTAGCATATGCTAATCTAATTACAATGAAGTAAACTCCCCTATACACTTCGACTTGACCAGCTCACTACATGCTAAAGTCTATACAAGTATTTTAGCACGTGGTGGTGAACACCCTATAACACGCTACAGAGTGTTATAGTAAAGACAGACTCTTAAGACTCCACTTCTTTCCTCATTCAGTACTGCCTCTGCGGAGAACGAGTGTCAGCTACCCTGTCTAAAAGGAAGGAGGCTGTTGGCTGTTATGAATGTACTTTTCCTTTTGGAACTGAGTCTCTATCTTGAGCAAACAGAACCCAGATCTTTTAACTTGCTAGCATGCTGCAAAGCTTGCCTATTTTTCCTGGGGCATAGGGAAACTCTGAGTGGAGGTTCTCTGTGCTCTAAGGACACGGACGTTTTGTTTTTCAGTTGGTTATTTGCTGTGAATATTAAATTGTGTAATAAATCCCTGCAGCACTGAATGGGTGGTTAGTAAATCTTGTACTAACTGAAATAAACAAGCAAGCTGGGGAAGAGTTTGTGTTTATAAAATCTGTGATCTGGTGATATCTTTGGGGGTACCTACAGGCTTTCCATTTAAAATATTCCCAGAAGATTTAATGGAACATTTAGGGGAGTGGCTGAGAGGATGAACTCCACTGGGATACTGCTAAATTATCCTTGAAAAGGATTATTTATCCTTGGGGCTTAAAAAAATACTCTGACAGCAACCAATTTATCTTCTTTAGAAATGGGCCAGGTTGCTCTGCCAGGCATGAGAGCTACCTGCATATCCACAGATCCACCAACAGGCTTTTATTAGTCAATGTGCACCCTCCATTTTAAATTGGCCCAGTTTAACCTATTTTTGAAGGAACAGAAATGCAAGCTTTTTTCCTTCTAAAGAGTGCAGCTATAGAGAAACTTGATTGCCCAAGTTTTTGTTGTCTTGGGAGACAATTAATTTTTCTTTTGTTTAATTGGGAAAGTGAATAGAGTCTCCAGTCTCTTGATAATCCTTTCTACAAGCATCAAAGCCCTGAGACATGGAAATTTTATCACAGGCTCAGGAAGAACACTTGTGGGAGCCCCTTACCAAAACACTGGCTGTGCCTCAGTGGGTTTGTAACAAAAAAAAAAGTTGGTTGACTTTCATCCGTTATCAGGTTTCATTCCGAAAATTTCACAGAAATCAAATTAGTATTCTGGAGAGAAAGCTGCTTGTGACCTTATTTTTAAAATCATGACTGTATTTTATTGTGTTTCCAGTGGCTTGGCAGGTACTTTATTGACAGCAGCATACAAACTGTAAGAAATATATAAGGATAGATAAAATATCATCAATAACGGGAATGCATATTCTAAGTTATTTCTTATTCTTCTAAAGCATCCCATAAAGTTTTAACAAAAAAAATTAAGAAAATAGGATATGTATTTCATGTATTTCACAGAAAATGCATTAAATAATGTATAGGAAATAAAGCTTAAGCGTATGGCACACTCAGTGAAAGAATCCTGATCCTGTCTGTATGTGTGCATGAGAAAATAAAACAACATATGTGATAAACTGAGCCTTAACTATTAGGGGTTTATTTGTATCTATGGTACATGGTAAAAATGTGTGTGGTACAGTTCAAAACAAATCAGTTCTGTTTTGCTTTCAGCTTGATGACTCACTAAACCAGATTCGAAAGCTACAGCGATCCCTGGATGAACAGACAGAGGCAAATGATAATTTACAGATTCAGTTTAATCATTTGAAAAGCAGGTAAGTGCTTTACACACTTAACACTTTGAATCTGGGCAGGAATGTTAATGCAGGGAGATCAAGTAAAGATGAACTTTTATTGATTTTCTGTCACGTTTCCAGAGTCCAATCCAGTAACTGTTGCAATTGTTTAGTCCCCCCTACGTTTCTGGTTCATGTGAATATATTCAAGCACCTATGGGAATTTGTTTTTTAATCAGTCTGAATGAGAATGGATAATGCACAAAGAAATAGGTCCAGTGAATCAGGATAGGATACCATGGGTCCCATGCTGGGGTCAGTGTGCAGCTGCACCACCCAGTAGGAGTGCTTTGTGTGTGAGACAGACTTTGCAGTGGAGTTTTAAATATGCAGAGGGGAGCATGTCTGCTGGGTACCTCCTAAGCAGGATAAAGAAACTTGCTTCACTCTCAGCTCAGCCAGCTATGCAGTAGCCTTCACTCCTTCTCACACCTTTGCCCTCCTTTTAAGTGAGTTGTGTTCTAGCTCTCCTGCCACACCGTCCATAGCCTCAGACACAACTCTGACACTAGAATCAATGTCATCATGAATAGATCAGATTACTAATGGGAAGCTGCTAGACAGTTCTTCCAACACTGCATTCTATAGTCCTACTTCTGATGCCACTGAGGTGTACCAAATCAAACTACACCATCTACTCAATAAATTACCTGAAAAAAAACAGGAACAAATTCTCACAGACAAACCTTTAGAGCCCAGACCAGGAATACTCTATTTGCTACTCAAGATGCGTAAACCTGGGAACCCTGGATGGCCCATCATATCAGGCATTGGTACTTTTACAACATGACTGTCTAGCTATATTGACTCCCCCCTCAAGCCCTACACTGCCCAAGTCCACAGCTATCTTTGAGACTCCACAGACTTCCCGAGGAAACTACAATTCATTGGTGATTTCCCTCCTCCACACAAAAAACCCACTGTGGATATAGATGCTCTGTACATCAACATTGCACACAATGATGGACTGCAAGCTATCAGGAACTGTATTCCTGATGATGCCATAAAACAACAGGCCACTGAACTTCATGCCTTTGTTCTCACCCACAACCATTTCAGATTTTGGGATGCTATATGCCTTCAAGGAAGAGGAACTGCCATGGTTAGCCTCATGGCCCCAGAATACGCCAATGTTTTTATGGTTGATTCAAAGCAATGCTTTCTCAGCTCCTTTCCCCAAGTGGCCATCCTCTGCTATGTTACATTGATGACATCATCATATGGATGCACAAGAAGGAGACCCTTGAGGAATTCCACTGGGATTACAACAATTTCCCAGCTTCTCCTACACATCATCAAGGATCAACAACCTATCATAGATGATGATCATTTGCTCTCAGAGACTTTTGGATAACGGGCTAGCCCTCACTTACAGACTGTCCTCCAACCTGAGAAAATACCACCAACTCTACACCCCACTACAGAAACACTAATCCAGGAACTTATCCTGCAACAAACCCCACTGCCAACTCTGTATGCACATCTACCCTAGAGACGTTGTCACAGGTCCTAACCACATCAGCTGTACCATCAAAGGCTCGGTTATGTTCACATATACTAATGTACTATATGCCATCATGTGACAACAATGCCCGTGTCATGTACATCGGACAAACTGTACTATCTGCATGCAAAAGAATAAATAAACACAAATCCGATACTAAGAATAGCAACAGATAAAAACTGTGGGGAAGCAATTTACCCTCCTTGGCTACACAGTTGTGGACTTGCATGTTACCATTCTCAGGCCAAAAAGACTTAAAGATTCAAAAGTCTCAAAAACAGACGCACCAAGAAACTGCTGAGCTGGAATTCATATGCAAATTTGATACCTTAAAATAAGGTTTAAACAGACACCTGGAGTGGTTCTCACATTACCATAGATAATTTCCCATTCAGATACTCTCACCTTTGCATCATTGTTGTAGATGAGCCACATCTACTCTATTTTAATTTGCACTGATATCACACTCCCATCCCTTCCTTTTCTGATTTTTTTCCTCTTTAGCAGCTGAGGAAGTAAGTTGTATCTCAAGAAAGGTTATGCCCTAATGTCCTAATAAATGTGTTAATCTTTAAAGTGTCACCAGGCTCCCTGTTGTTTTTGCCAGGGATAAGTTACTCCACTTAGCATATGTAGGAACCTCCAGTGTCCCAAAATAGCTATTCCATGGCTTTAAACGTGCATGTTATTTCAAAATATATTTCAAAATAATGGGCATTCCACAAGGGTTAAGGTATTTGTCAAAATAGTGTTCTATTTCAAAATAACCTCAAAATAAGGAATTTTGAGGTAAGGGTGCTGTATAGATACACTCCAAGATTCATGCAAAAAGGAGGAGGAAAAAGTAGTAATTTCCTTGTAATAAAATGTAAGTCAGTGTGCATTTATATAAATGGGGCTGAGAAACCAACTTACATTTCAGAAAGCAGTAATTTTTTTAACAAATTAAAAGATTTTTCCCTTTTCTGTTGCTGCTGGTGTGCATGGTGTTTGTTGTTAAGTGTTGCAGCTGCAAGACAGCTTGGAGCTATTTGCTCGATCACCCTAAATTAATCCTGAGCCTCTACCTTGTGCCATGATTTACATCTGTACAAAAAGAACACAAAACTCTCTGTACTCACACTCATATAAATGACAGTCCAAGGGGCAAAGTACTGGAGAAATAGGCTTACAAGTAATCAATCAGAGAAGCTAGGACGCTAATGTACTTTGGGAAAGGTAGTATTCAGTCATCATATTTCCTCTTGATATATTTTAAAATATGCATTGTCGGATATATTTTGAACCATTTGCATGTGCTGGGTTCAAGATTTCCCCATGTTGCTTCACGTCAATCTTCCATTGGGTGTTTACTGCTTGCTGAAGTGAGTTGGAAACCACAACATTTTCAAATCTTTTTTTCTCTTCTTGTTTTACATTCTCATGGTATATGTCTCATTTGCAGGGCAAGCTACATCTTTGTTCCCTTTCTGGTATCAGACTGTACCCCCATAGGTGGCATTCCTAGTCCCTTTATTCTTGTGGGGTAGACTCTCATACCCTTCGGATCAGTGTTCTCTCTAAACAGCACAGCTTCACAGGTGATTAATCAGCCCTGCCTAGTCAGTCAGGAAGTCCTGTGAAGTTATGTTGCCATGCAGTTAAGAGGGAATACTGCTTGGGATGTCAATACCCAGATTCAAATCTCACTGTGCCAATGGCTTATCAATGTGCAGAGGCAGAAACACAAGTTGAAAAGGGTTTTCTCAACCTGAGGAGAGTGCTTTAACCACTAGTTACAGGATATTTTGATGTGGGGAATCTCTCAATCTCTCCTGTTGAATGTGTTCTACTATCTATTAAATAATAGTGATTGGAACAAAAGAACTGGACTTGGGTCTCCCAAACTCAGGTAAGAGAAAGTTGATATTGTGAGTAAGAGTGACCTTGAGCAGATAATTGGGCATGCATATATATATATATATCTATATCTATATATATATATATAGTAGCCCAGTGTCTGTAATGCTGAAATGCAGGCTGTTCCCTCTGGGTGGCGCTGTTGCTGAAATTCTGGCTGTTCTCTCTGGGCGGCCCGTGCTGCATGGGGAGTGTGGGGCCCAAACAGCTGCTTGCTCCACTTGCTCCCCCGCAGTGGCCCAACTGAGTGGCGCAGAAGCCAGCCGAGCGCCACGGCGGGAGGGAAAGGGAGGCGGGGCAGTGACGTGTGGCATGACAGCAGCTCCAGGTCCCACCACCCGGCCATGAACATCACCGCCCTGCCCCCCTTCGCCTCCCGCCATGGCTCTCAGCTGACTTCTGCGCCGCTCAGCCAGGCCGCCGCGTAGGAGCAAGTGGCGCAAGCAACCATTTGGGCTCCGCGCTCCCCATGCAGCACGGGGAGTGCGGAGCCCAAACAGCCGAGGATCAGAGAAAGAGAGAGACAGAGAGAGAGGCAGGAGGCAGAGGAGACTGGGAGAGAGAGGTGGGGAGGCAGTAGGAGAAGGGGAGAGAGAGAGAGAGAGAGAGAGAGACTGGAGGCTCAGGAGAGAAGACCGACGTGGAGGAAAGACCTGAAATCACATCTTATGACGGGCTAATTGGCTAGTATATATATATAAATGCTGTGAAGTAGTGAGAGAAAGCTATGTACCATATAGGATACAGACCTGCAGTCAGGCTGAAATTGTATAGGATTAAAAAGACTATTAAGAAGGAGATGGCCTGAAAAATGAGAATAGAAGACTCTCTGATGACTTTGCAAGATTACCCAGCCATAACAGCCCGAAGAATAATGTTTGAGTGACTTACAATGGAGCACAGAAAGGAATCCAATTTAACTTTTCATCCCTACCCAGCGATTTTCAAAGGCAAGCAAATAGTGACTTCATATACTGTGGTTAGAAAGAACACCAAGGTAACTATCCTTCTATGCAGATAGAAGGTTACTGTTAACTCATAGTAAATTATCAAGAATGAAAGTGCTCTATATTCATCTCCTGAGAAGGAATTCTGTCAGGTTGCAGAATGATCTCCCTCAGGAAGTGATGCACAATCCATCACTTGAGAACGAGCTTTGGAAGGGTTTAACCATGTCTATAGGGAGCAATGTGCGGTAGGAAACAATCCTGCATTGTCAGAGAGGTCAACATAATAGGTTTATGACATCCTTTCTTAATTCCATGACCATTATTTGGCCATTTTGAAAAACATTTTGTAATGTTTCCAAACTACGGCAGAACTTGGTTCCACTAGGATGCCTCATTTTACAGTGGCAAATGTTTATGGTGCTTTGGTGGATCATCTCCATAAAAACCTGAGTGCTTGCCTTCAAATGCCAGGTCATCTCAATAAACATGACAGTATGTTCTTGATCTATGTAGAACACACTAGACTGCTAAAGATCAAGGAAACAACATTTTGTCATGATAATGTAAACATTGTTATGACACAATAAAATCAACAGCTTTTCTTTTCTTTTCAACACTGTCTTTAT